TTAATTTGTACCGTTCACCCTCTTTGGCTCTACCCATGAATTAGCTAAAATCGAACCCAATCTAACATTTATGCTTTGAATTGGATAGTTTAGATTGATCGAATTCTCGCCTCATTTGAACACTCCGAAACATCAATTTTTTCCATATTAAAATTCCAAAATAGTTCCTACATATTACCATTTTTAATTAAATACCAAATTGTGACCCAAATTAAGCTTAAATTATTGCTAATTTTGAATTAGATTATTTGATAATTATTTTATTTTGAATTAATTAGGTAGATAATTATTTCATGATCATAACTTAAAAAAATATCTAAATATTTGAATATTTACACCATTGGAATTTTATTAATTATTATGTCCCTAATGTCATTACACTTAGATATTATTGGGTTTTGTTTACAAGATTGTCAAATGAACTATATTGAAAATATTTTAAATATTCGAATTTGTTAGACAAATTTTAAAAATAAAATAAAATTTTATTAATATAGACTTAATTTTGAAAAACCAAAAAAAAAATAAAATAAATAAATAAATATATAAATATATATATATATATATATATATATATATATAGTGATTCGTTATATTAAAATTTAGAGACTACACGTTATTAAAAATTTAGGCTACCTAACGAATTATAACAAGTTTACCTAATTTCATTTAAAATCAATTAAAGCGATCTAAGCAACATTATTATTTTGAAGCTATCACATAATTCTTTAAAATAAGTATAGAAAATATGAAAATATGAAAACCTGCTCACATTAATCAAAGTTGCTATTACAGCCCGATTCCAACATTTCATTCTAATATTGCATTAACTTCTATATTTAAACAAGTCTTTCCCGTGAAAATTATGCATTTTAAAAATGAAGGCTCTAACGACTTTGAGATCCCACGTTAGTTGGAGAAAAAACAAAACATTCATTTTAAGGGTGTAGAAACTTCACCCTGACATTCACGTTTTTAAATTGTGAGACTGATAGTGATATGTAACAAGCAAAAGCGGATAATATCTACTAACAGTTTGATTGAGCTGTTACAAATGGAGCTAGACACCGAGTGGTGTGCCTGCGAAGACGCTAGCCTCTGGAAGGGTGGATTGTGAGATCTCACGTCAATTGGAGAGAGGAACGAAATACATTCCTTATTAAAGCGTGAAAACCACTCCCTAGCAAACGTGTTCTAAAACCGTGAGACTGACGACAATACGTAACCGGCAAAAACGAACAATATCTGGTAGCAATGAACTTGGACTGTTACAAATGGTATCAAATCTAGACATCGGATGGTGTGCCAACGAAGACACTAGCCTCTAAGAGGGGTGGACTATGAGATCTCATATCGGTTGGAGAGGGGAACAAAACATTCCTTATAAGAGTGTGAAAACTTCTCCCAAATAGACATATTTTAAAACCGTGAGACTGACGACAATTCATAATGACCAAAGCGGACAATATCTACTAGCGGTGGACTTGATATGCGTAATACGAGTCAAAACGGACAATATTTACTAGTGGTGAGGTTGGTCTGTGTAGTACGTAACGAGTCAAAACGAACAATGTCCGTTACTAGTGAGCGAACCGATTTCCTCAATGCCATAAACTTCTAAGTTTTCCTTTTTGACATTAACACATGAGCTTCAAACCTTTTTCACAACACAAATCCATAAAGACACATGGAAAGCCAATTGGTAGAAGAACACGGAGTTTTAAGTGAACCACAAGAAGATGACAGCCAAATTCCAAAGTAGAAGCTCAACATTAGCTTCAGAATACAGCCATTTTAAGCAACAAAACAGACGCAAAACACATCATGGCACACAAGAAAGGGTAATGATATAGAAGAACTAAACCTTTTTGAGTCGGCCTATACATCAGAAACCTATTTCGAACGTACCCGACGTTTTCCTCAGCTCGTTCTTTTTCGTCTCATCAACTTTCCGCCTTTTTTATAGCTTCCAAATTTCTGAAACCCTTATCGGTTCCAAATATCCTGCCGATCAAAGAAGCCGAAACGTTATCGACGGTGTTTTTCTGCTATTTCCATGCATAGAAGTGATTTATCTCCATGAACACGAACATGCAAAAACGTGAAATGCATATAAATATGACTTTCCCATATGAAAGTTCCATGTTAGCCATTCAGATGATGAGTCTCTTCAGATGTTCAAAACCTATATAGATCTCAACAAGATATTTCATGTACAAAGAGATTAAATTTGGTAAATGACAGATGCAAGCTAGATGAAATCTCCTTTTCGTGTTTACTGCTCGATGAAAGATCGAATAGAGAGCAAGCTTCGTGTTCTCGGTCTTAGCCACTTTAGCCCACTCTCTTTTTACATAGCCAACTAGTTGGTGTACTCTTCCTCGATGCTAACTCGATAAAAGTCAAACCCTTTGTCTAAAAAAGAATGGTTAAGGGGATCCCAATTTTGATGAAATACAAGATGCTTAGGTTTCAGGTAAGACGGTAGCGCAAAGGAAGATCAAGGGCTTGTTATGGAAGGCGGCAAGGGCTGGGGGTAAACCGAAGGGCGTTTTCTAGCCTCCCTAAGCTGGGTGGTGTTTGTGTGTGGGGTGTGCCACGACGAAACAAGGGAATGAAAGGCTGTTGGAAGCTCTTTCCCCTCCCCATAATGAGGGCTCTGTAGTCTTGGTGAGCGTTGAAGCTTGCTTCAAAGGACAGGAGAAAAAGCAACCAAAGAATGTGGTGTGCATTCCTAATTCAACGATCATCATCTAGCTATTATTCAAACAACCCCCTTGCTTACCAACACTTACTACACAGATCAACAGTCTAGGAAATATTCGTGAAACTATTGAATGAATGGTAAATCAATGTTCCACAAAGCGGGTTTTAATGCTATGAAGCTCAAACCAATAACGTAATAAACGATTCGACCTTTTTCGGACCGAACTTACCAGTCCATGTAAGTGAACGTCGATGAGTAGTTGCCAGATTTTGTATAAAGCAGCCGGTGATGATAATCATGAAAGTAAGCACTGTGGAGAAAGAGCAAAGTTGATTTCAGGAACGACAGATACAGAGCAAAGTATTCTTTTTAAGACATTACAAATCCAAATCAACTCACCCTCCATACAAAGGTATGAAGTTTGAAGGGCTCCAAGGAAAATCGTAACCACAATGAGCCTCGACTGTCTCTAGCACTCGAAGTACCATCCATAACCACAGAGTCATTAGATGGGGACCGGTAAGAGCAGGACCGACAATGGTTGCGAATCCGAGGAACAGGATCTCGGCAGGGTGAGCATATTCTGATGTTAGTCCAAAAGGGGTAGCGTATCTGCACGTATAAGAACGATAAAACAGCCTAAGACGATTTTATCATGGAAGAAGGCAGCATATCCATGAATTTTCATTCGTAAATCTCACTTACTCGTGATGCACGCTGTGGACGTTCTTGTACAGCCATTTGGTGTGTAAAATTCTATGGCCCCAGTAGAAAACAAAATCCTCCACAATAAAGTAAAATATTATCTGGCCGAAAACGACTTTCCTACATGAATGAAACGCAAACCAAATTAAATTCTTGAAAAGTTAATGATATAACCAAGATAAGGAAAATGTAACGGTCCAAGCCCACCGCTAGCACATATTGTCCTCTTTGGGCTTTACCTTCTGGACTTCCCTTCAAAGTTTTAAAACGCGTCTAGGGAGAGGTTTCCACACCCTTATAAAGAATGTTTCGTTCTCCTCCTCAACTGATGTGGGGTTGTAACAACCCAAGCCAACCGTTAGTATATTGTCTTCTTTGGAATTTCCTTTTCAAACTTCCCCTCAAAGTTTTAAAATGCGTCTACTAGGGAGAGGTTTCCACACCTTTATAAAGAATGTTTCGTTCTCCTCTCCAATTAATATGGGATTGCACAGAAAAATGTAAACTAAACCTAGCCAGATAAAACTCCTAAAATATATGCTTTAGAACATAAAGAACCTGAAGATACCAGGATGGCAATGGAAGAGTGCTTCTCATGCCCATACGCTTGAACACCGGATACGAAACGATCATAACGGGTAGATTTACACCAAAGTGATAGAGCAGTAGGCGCGAAATACATTTTCCTTGAGCAGCAGGACTATTATTCTTAGCCTGAATAAAGCAGAAAAAATTAACCCATAATTAGTCGAGTTAATTACTCGAGCGATAAAACTCAGTTGATAGGTTCTTTGCCTGCATCCATAAGTATCAGCTCAAGCAGTGATTTTCTTTTCTTTTCATATCATATCATTCTTCTTGATAGAAAGAATAATCAATGAGAAATAGAGCTTAAAGCACTAATTATTTCTAATCTAGTTCATAATCATACATTAATCACTAACAAAGGTAAATCTTATTCAAATATCAAATATTGATCAAGCATCCATAAGAACTTGTGAAGATTTCTAGTGAAGCAAGAAGGCAAACCTGGATCTTGTACTTGCTTAGCCACCCTGCTCTTTCCAGAAAAACAAAGGGAAGCCCAGATAAGAAGAACACGCTTTCATGGATTATAAAGCTTCCAATACAAGCTAGTTGAAAATCACTGAAGTTTGTGATCAGATACTGCATCATGGGAGAAAAAGAAAATTCATAAAAAGAAGTACAAGATGTATAAAGAACCATAGCGTAATTCTACATTCCAGCGAGCCCATGTTGTTGAAAAGAAAAAGTAAATGGAAACGGTACAAGTTCAAACCCACCGTTAACAATATTGTCTTACTTGGGTTTTTCCTTTTGGTGCTTCCCCTCAAGGTTTTAAAACGTGTCTGCTAAGGGAGAGATTTCCACATCCTTATAAGGAATCTTTTATTCCCTTCTCCAACTGATGTGTGATCTCACAATCCACTCCATTGGGGACCCAACATTCTTGCTGGCACACCGCCTGGTGTTTGGCTCTGATATTATTTGTAACGGTTCAAGCCCACCACTAGCAAATACTGTCATATTTGGGCTTTCTCTTCTAGTGCTTCCCCTCAAGGTTTTGAAACACGTCTGCTAGGTGGAGATTTCCACACCCTTATAAGGAATGTTTCGTTCCCCCTCTCCAATCGATGTGTGATCTCAGAATCCACCTCTTTGGAGGCCCAACATCCTCGTCGGCACACCGTCCAATGTTCCGCTCTGATACGATTTGTAATAGAGCCCGTTAGCAAATATTGTCCTATTTGGATTTTTCCTTCTGGGCTTCCCCTCACGGTTTTAAAACATATTTGCTAGGGAGAGATTTCCACACCCTTATAAGGAATGTTTCGTTTCCCTCTCCAACCGATGTGTGATCTCGCAATCCACCCCCTTGGGGGTCCAGCGTCCTCCCTAGCACACGGCCCAGTGTTTGGCTCTGATACCATTTGTAACTGTTCAAGCCCTCCGCTAGCAAATATTGTCCTATTTGGATTTTCACTTTTAGGCTTCCTCTCAAGACTTTAAAACACATCTATCAGAAAGGGATTTCTACACCCTTATAAAGAATGTTTCGCGCTCCTCTCCAACTTATTTGATCTCACAATCCACCCCTTTGAGGTCCAGCGTCCTCGCTGGCGGCACAGCTCACAATTCAATTCCACCACTAGCAAATATTCTCCTATTTAGGCTTTCCCTTGTAGTCTTTCCTCTCAAAGATTTCCACCAGGTAAGAAATGCTTCCTTCCTCTCTCCGACCGTGTGATCTCACAAAAACCCTCACATTTCAAAAAAAGAAAAAACCAAAATTCACTCCAATTGGAAAACAAAACAAAATTCTGAAAAAATGGCATCCATAACTCCATCTGAGCGCCTCAAAGATGGAAGCCATTAGCTCTAAACATCAAGATCCTAATTCAAATCAACAGTAGAAGATGAATTTCACCCGAAAAACCCCAAAATTAGGGCAATGTAACAAGTAGAAGAGTAAAATTCAAAAGAGCAACACTACGACATCAAAACCCAGTTTGACAGCGAACAGAAGTTTAGAAAATGAAGAACAAATCTAAGACGGAAAGAAGAAGATTAAGAAGAGAGGAAGAGAAAGCAATACCCGCCAGGCAGATTCAAGAAGCTCAGCCATGAATGGAGGGAAGAGAAAGCAATAGAATCTGAAGGTTTATGGTTTACAATATATGTAAATCTCAATTTGCCTTTTTCTTCCATTTCCATGTGCTCTCTCTCTCCCCCTCCCTCTCCGTCCATGTTTGAGCACGTTGCAGGCTCCCAAGCCACCGCTCTTAAAAACTTTTTCCAAAAAATACCCAATATTAAAAAAAAAATATATATATATATATGAATCAAAATTCTCATTAAACTTTTATAAAAGTTTTAAAAAATATGTTCGATTTTTTTTTTAAAAAAAAAAATAATAAGAATATCATTATCTAAACTACCGTATTTCAAAAATACTTCAAAATTTTTGAATATATAAAAAGTAAAAGATATTAATATTTTTAAAAAATTTATGAGTATTTTTTAAATATAATATTAATAGTAAATATATTTTTTTAATTTTTTTTAAAAGTGGAAGAGTATTAATGAAAATTATATAAATTAGTGCAGATGAATAATATTAATAAGTTTTATGTTATTTTTTTTTAGTTAAAAACAGGGTAAAAGGGCTTTAAAAAAAACACGTTTTTCATGAAATTAATTTCCAAAATTTATGAGATTATAATGGTAAATTTTGAAAAAGGTGTGAATATCTTTAATCAGGCTTAATGTAAATCATAAATTCATTTAGCTATTATTATTATTATTATTATGTAATAAAGCTAATTGTAATTATTAGGTTAAACCGAATTTATGATGTACCTAATTTTTTTAATTTTTATTCTTGCCACGAATTTTAAACTTGTTTATAAAAAACTATTTTTTTTAAAAAATTTGTTAAAATGAAATAAAAATAGTGGTACAGTATATGAATATGGTGCATTTTCCCTAAAACTATGGAATAGTTTAATAAATTCACATAATATTACAATTACATAAGTAATAAAATTAATCTTTGAAAATAATTCACATAATATAATATACCATTATATTTATAAAATTAAGTTTAATAAATTAATTAGAATCTTAAAACTTCCAATTTTTTTATACAAAAATATGTAAAAATACCAAACATATAAAAAAAAACTTAAAGAACCAAACCGATAATAGATTGAAGAAAATCTAAAACAAAAAATTCAACGAGACACACAACACAACACGAACTTCGGATTGTAATCTAACAAAGAAGAAAACGATTCTTCAAATGATTCGTTCTCGTTAAACCTACTCGATAGGATAATGGAGATAGAATAGTATACTTCATTTGAAGACAAATATTGAATGCAAACCTCTTTTTCTCTAAATCCCTTTTGGCATCTTCTTTCAATTTTATAACAAAAAGATCTTGAGCGACCATTCGTAACCAATCCTCCGAAAGGAGAAACCTCCTGTCTCATAAGGTTCGTTTGGGATGACTTTTGAACGACTTATAAATAACGTCAAAGTACTTGAAAGTCATTCTAAACTCGCGCTTATTCTTACCCACCAACTTGTTCGAGGACAGGGTGTCTCACATCGATATAGCCTAAAATCTAGGAGATTACATTGTCTTCTTTCATTACCACAATACAAGAGACTATACCTATTCATTAAAAGCAAATAACAGAACACAGCCTAATCCAAGAACCAAAGCCAGGTAATAACTAAATCCAGCTAGCAACTAACACTGAACCATCAAGAAACTCAGAACCAAAAGTTACAATTACAAGATTATCCCAATTCCTAGGACACTAACCTTTTGGTTTAATTCAATATTCAAGTAAAAGTTAGTTGAAGAAATGCATGCTTTAGTTTACTACGACGCCTTAAATAAGTCATACATTAATGGAGTTTGAGGTTTGATTTCTCACATATATGTCAGGGAAGGAAGGTTTTGCAAAGGTGTCTATCTAAGAGGAATCGTACCGTTCTCTATATGTACCGTGACCGGAATGAAAATAAAGGGAGTCGTCAAAGAAGGATAACTCCAAAGAAGGGAAGGGTGTCCCTAAAACTGATATGGAAATTCTTTTTTCTTTTTAGCTCGAGAGATTGAAAGTCATTTTAGAGCACCCGTCTGCTGTCTCATTCAACTACATTTGTTCCTATAATTCATAGCCTAATAGAACGCAACAGCGAGGGGCAATCTGTCCATACAGTCTTTGGAGAGGATGACACTATTGGCAAAGATCGTATGAGAAAAACACCGCAGGCACGGGAGCATAGTATAGGCAGGAAAGGTAGCCTAGACGGTGAAAGAGCAGGGGGAGGTCTGGTCATTTGACAGAAATAGAAGGCTTTTCCTCTATTATCAAACGGACGGTTCAATTTCACATCAAAATGATGCATTTTCTTTCCCCTTTTCTCTCGAGGACGTCTCAATAAAACTACAGGCCTCAAGAAACCAATTTTCAAGGTGTGTGAAAGTGTTCAACTATGTCTATGTAGCTGCCCAATAGAACTGTTGCATCACCTGTGATTATCATAATGGTACTAGCAAAAACAAAGAATAAGGCAAGGATTTGCAAGTATACAACCTACCAATAATCTCCACACGAGCAAACTCCGTCCTTAAAATGGTGGATGCGATTCACATCTCGAACCATAATCTCGATATCAGCAAACTTCGAAATGAATTTTGTGAAAGAATGGCAGTCTTCACATAACCTCAAGTTCTTAGATATCCTTATGGTGTCCCCCTTGCTTGTATTGATGAGTCCAAAAGCAACTGCGAGCTTTTCGCTATGACCCAACACAATCCTTTCCTTTTCTTCCTCATCAAGGTCATACAGCACCACTTTAGTATGTGGGGTATACCCTCTTTGCTTCATCTCATTTGACAAATTCATTAACAGGGCATGGAGCTGCTCTGCCTGTGGATAAAACTCATCAACTGATGTAAATGAATAGATCTTCCTTCGTACTTCGATCCAACTTCTACCTGGGACCTTACGTAGTTCGCAGGAATCGAGTAGTTTTCTAACTCTCTTTACCTCATCCCACATGTTAGCTTCTGCATAAACATCGGCTAGAAGTACATAATTCCCGGCATTCGTAGGTTCGAGCTCGAAAAGCCTTTTGCTTGCTCGTTCAGCTAGCTCGACATGACAATGAATCCTACAGGCACCAAGAAGAGAGCCCCATACTTTTGGCCCTGGTTCAATACGCAGATCCTCTACAATCTTGGCTGCTTCGTCCAATCGATTCGCACGCCCGAGAAGATCAACCATACAAGCATAGTGCTCCTCACCAGGCTGTATACCATGTTTCTTTGCCATAGATTCAAACAACTCCTTCCCCTCTTCAACAAGCCCGGCATGGCTGCAAGCACCTAAAACACTTACAAATGATATGTAACTGGGTGAGACTCCATGATCAACCATCTCTTGGAAAATTTCGATTGCTTTTCTTCCATATCCGTGTACTCCATAACTCGAAATCAAGGAATTCCATATGACAACATCTCTCTTATGTATGAAGTCAAAAACTAGTTGGCCTAACTCAAGCTTACCACATCTTGCATACATGGTCACAAGAGCACTTATAACTGGCAAGATTGAATCAAGACCCCTCCTAAGAATGTAAGCGTGGATAAGCTTCCCTTGCTCCAGAGCAGCAAGAGCAGCACAGGATTGGAGTACGCTGACCATCGTCACGGAATTCGGCACGGTATCGTGGGTATTGAGCATCATCTCACGAAAGAGTTCCAAAGCTTCGTATGGCTTCCCATTCTTTGCATAGCACGCAATCATAGCACTCCAAGAAACCACATTTCTCACAGGCATTTCATCAAACACAGCACCTGCATAAGAAACACACCCAAACCTTGCATACATATCCACCAGAGTAGTCATTGCATGAACATGAGCTTCATACCCATGTCTCAAAATATGCGCATGAATTTCCTTACCCTTCTGGAGAATTGAAACCAAACACTCTGAAGCAGCACAGGCTTTGAGCAAATAAGTATAAGTAAACCTATCAGAAGGAACTCCCATCATATTCATCTGGGCATACAATTCCAGTACGTCTTTTCCATGACCCGCCAACGCAAGAGCTCTAAACAACGCATTCCAAACATATATAGTTCTCTCACGCGTTTTGTAGAACACCTTACGTACATTGTCAACAGATTCCAATTCGGAAAACATATTGATAAGCTTGGTGGCCAGGAAAGGATCTTGGTCAAATCCCCCATCGACGAGGCGTCGATGGACGTCAAGGCCATCGGAAAGAGAGTTCCGGCGAGCGGCGGAGAGGATTAAAAGCTCCCACGTCCGTTGGGTAGGATTGGATTCATGGGAGAGGAGCAAAAGGGCTTGTTTTAGATTACCCTGTTTGCACAGCGATTGAATCAACTGATTCTTATTGGAATTTGTAGCGGTTGAAGAGTTGAAGGAGAAGGAGCAGATTGAGGGTTTTGAAGGGGAATGAGCGGAAGAATGGCGGCGAGACAAAGGAGGGTATTGGGTATATTGGGGGGTCCGAAGCGCCCACATCACGGAAGGATTGAACTGAATTAAGTTTCAGTGAAAGGCTTTGAAATTTCAATCATCCCATGGGGAATTTGAATGGAAGCTCCGTAGTTGAGCCGTCGTTGCCCTCGGGATTTTGACCCTTCCAGATGTCTGCGTCCTTCTTGTTATGCTTCGGCTTGATGCCACAGGCTATTCCAAATTCCGACGCGAACGACATGTCGACCGTCTGGAAATTGGGCACCTTCAAAACATTAGATGATAGATATTTCTTCAAGGCTTGTAAGATACCGATAGATATTTTTGAAAAATTATAAATATAAGAAATACATTTTTCTTTTATATCTCATTCATTTTTATTACATAAATGTCGATGATATCGTCAAAGCTCAAACCTAATAGACATATGGACATGTCTGGTATGCTGACAAAAATTTCAGGTCCTTCTGCAAGCGTCTCGTCCCTAACACTTATTGAAAGTCATCTCTTGTCTTCCTGTTAGTGAGAAATCCGCTCTTGGATCCTCTCCCTATCAGTCGAAATGTGGAGATACCATTACCAAACCCTAATTACAAACGTAAATTAGATTAAATTTTATGTTTTGTTCTCGTACTCCTGTGTCTGTTTATTTAGTTAGTGTAAACTTTTTAAACGTTGCAACATTGAGTTAAAGATTCGATAAGATTTCTCTACGTAGCCAAGGTAAGGCTGCCATTCTAAAGAAACTCCAAAACAAGCTCAAGAAAGGCAAGGAGAAAGATCTGTGTTGAGTTTGCATTCAAATGAACATCAAAGAAATCATCATTTATCAATACCTCTTATTATGTGGAAGGAAAAGACTATTCTGAAGGTTTATTATGCCTTCTCCCTTTCCTTGCAATGAATGCTTCCAGTGCCTTATTCCTCAACTCGACCTCTAACCTTCTCTGCTCGGCCTCATACGCACCATCACTCGGACGACACTCTTCCCTTACAGCTCGACCATCGTCCGAGCAATCATCACTGAGAGTCTTAGCGTTCGTCTTCTCAGCACGCCGCTTTTCCTTTTTACGTCCATGCTCTTCACGTCTTTGTCGCTTCTTCTCCTTCCGCCACCTCCTCTCCTCCTCCTTCCTTCTCCTGGCCTCCTTCCTCTCCAATTCACTATCATAGCTGTCTTCCGACTCCGAAGAAGTGTCGCGCCTGTCTGATCTTCTGTGTCTTCTCTCCGAAGAAGTGTCACTCCTGTCTGATCTTCTGTGTCTTTTCCTACCCTTACTTCTGGTTTTACGCTTATAGCCTTCCTCCATATCAGAATCTGAGACCTCGCCACGGTTATTATTATTTTCGACAATCCGAGCCTCAGCTTCCTTGGCTTTACCTCGGCGTGAGTAGCTCTTTTCATCACTACAAAATAAATATAAAACAAAAACAAGAGTAACAGGCCTGTATTTTCACGTATAAACGATTAAAATAACAGAATACCCTTCTACAAGGATCCTTAGTTCCTGATATTTCTTTCTAAATTCCAAAGAATCAGGGCAAGTGCATAAACAGATGAATAAAACCCATCAGCAAATCACAATCATATGAGCCAAACAAATAGTAAAAGTTTCTAAGGATCTCAACACTAAAGATGAAGTTAAATTAATTCACAAATTCAAGAACTAAAAAGTTTTAACAGCAGCCTGCAGATTTACTGTTCTATAGATGGCTAGTACTCTTACCATCTAGCAGTTTTGATCAACAGATTAATAACATGCAGCTAAGTAGGTAGAAACCATCACACAGGATGCAAGCTTAATACAGGAAAAGAGAAGTACCTGGTTCTGACCCTGGGAGATTTTACTTTGACAGGCGATCGGTTTCCCCGCTCCTTTGATGAATAACTCAGACCATATGGTGAAATGGATCTATGTTGAGAAAGGCTCGATCTCTTGAGACGTGCTGGAGATGATGGAGATCTACGTTCTAGAGGAGAGGGTGTTATGTGATGATCATGTGGTGATGGCCTATCCAATTTCTGTATTGGTGAGGATGAAGGTAACATAGAGCATTGCCTTGGAGAACGAGATGGGTGGCGTTTAATAGGTGAGGGCGATCTCCAGTAGTGTGCTGGAGATGGCGATCTATGACGACGTACAAGGGAAGGTGATTTCCGACGGTGTGGAGATGGTGACCTGTAATGACGCGGCGACGATGTTGACCTTTGACTTCGTATTGGAGATGGTGACCTTCGACGTCGTACCGGAGTTGGTGACCTTCGACGTCGTACCGGAGTTGGTGACCTTCGACGTCGTATAGGAGTTGGTGACCTTCGGCATCGTACAGGTGATGGAGACCTGTGACGCCGTCTTGGTGATGGAGACCTACGACGTCGTCTTGGTGATGGAGACCTACGACGTCGTCTTGGTGATGGAGACCTACGACGTCGTCTTGGTGATGGTGACCAACGACTCCATTTTGGTGATGGTGATCTACGACGCCATTCAGGAGATGGTGATCTACGACGCCATTCAGGAGATGGTGATCTACGACGCCATTCAGGAGATGGTGATCTATGACTCCATTTTGGTGATGGTGATCTACGACGCCATTTAGGAGATGGTGATCTACGACTCCATTTAGGAGATGGTGATCTACGACGCCATTCAGGAGATGGTGATCTACGACGCCATTCAGGAGATGGTGATCTACGATGTTGAGCAGGTGAAGGCAAACGATTGTGTCTAATTGGTGATAGTGACCTGTGATGCTCAGTGGGTGATGGTGATCTACTATGCTTATCAAGTGATGGTGACCTTCGTTGTGCAGGTGACGATGATCGACTTTGCCCAGACGAAGATAGTTGATATGGTGATTTACAACGAGGAGATGGTGAACTATGTTGAGAAGGAGACTGCAACTGATGCACTACTGGAGAAAGAGATTTACGATGTGAAGTAGATCTAGACCTTCTTGAATCAGATGATCTATGTCGAGGAGAGGATGAACCACGATGGTCCCTACGACATGGGCTAATAGATAATCTTCCTTGTGAAAAGGAGTCTCGTAGCTGTTGAGGTGATCGAGATATACTCCTTGACTTGTGTCCATCACTAAAAAGAAAATAGGACAAAAGCATTAGTACAACTAGAAGATTTTGAAAAGCAACATAGTAACCACACATACTTCTATTAAGAAAAAAAAAAACATATTTATTACCCTTGTACAAATAAATATATGCATCACTGAAATTTAGAAGTGACAATAAAATAAGTAAGAATGTAACTTTGTCGTAATTTGAAGGTACAAAAATTGTAACTGCCCAAGCACACCGCTAGCAGATATTGTCATTTTTAGGCTTTCCCTTTCAGGATTCCCCTCAAGGTTTTTAAAACGTGTCTACTAGGAAGAGCTTTCCACACCCTTATAAAAAATGTTTCGTTCTCCTCTCCAACCGATGTGGGATCTCACACCCTTTTAGCATGCAACTAAGTAGGTAGAAACTATCCTCGCTGGCACTCGTTCCCTCTCCAATCGATGTCGGGGTCCAACATCCTCACTGACACAACGCCCGATGTTTGTCCCCTTCGAAGCTCAGCGTCCTCACTGGCATACCGCCCAGTGTCTGGTTCTGATACCATTTGTACAGCCCAAGCCCAACGCTAGTAGATATGTCCTATTTGGGCTTCCCCTCAAGGTTTTAAAATATGTTTCTAGGGAGGGGTTTCCACACCCTTATAAAAAATGTTTCGTTCTCCTCGCCAATTGATGTGGGATCTCACAATCCACCCCCCACCCCCCTCTTCCGAGGCCCAACGTCCTTGCAGGCACACCACTTGATGTCTACCCCCTTCGAAGCTCAGCATCCTTGCTGGCACACCGCTTGATGTTTGGCTCTAATACCATTCGTAACAACTCCGCAAGCAGATATTATCTTCTTTGGGCAATTCCTTCTAGGCTTCCCCTCAAGGTTTTAAAACGCATCTGCTAGAGAGAGGTTTCCACACCCTTATAAAGAAGATTTCGTTCTCCTCCCCAACCGACGCGGGATCTCACAAAAATGCTTCTCCATCATATCTCAAACGGTACAAAAATAAAGCATCGCACTAAATCTGAAAATCAGTTTATCACAAGTCATTACCTGCTTCTTCCCCTAACACCATTACTCTTTTCAGCCTCTTCCTCGTCCTCTGAATGATTTCTCATAGCCGTTGAACGATTCATTGACATAGACTCCAATACAAAATCGGCCACCTTTTCAGCCCCATCGTCCTACAGTAGTTTGAGGTAAAGGACATGAACCCAAATAATTGCAGAAGCTAGCTGAATGCCAGAGGAAATACAGAGAAAAGTTATGACCAAAAACCAATTTCAATCAATTACAACTCCAACATTTACAAACAACTTACCATATTCTTTGATCTCTGCTCCTCCATTTCTTTATTTTCCTTCTCTCTCTTTTTCTGAATTTCATTTGCAAGAAAATCTGTCTCTGCCTATAATAATCAAAGAGAACTAATCAATTGAAAGACACCGAGCAATCCACGTAACTACTAGCCGTACAATAAAACTTAACGAAATCTAGAAACCTTCTTCTTCCTAATTTCTACTTCCTTGGCATCCAAAAATTGTTGAGGTACACCACTGGCATTCGTCTGGGCACTTAGAAGTAGTGTCCAAAGCTCTTTCATGAACTTCACAGTATTCTTTTCCATGAACCCAGTGAGTTGTATTTGAACTTCCTTCCCATTTACTTCCTGTACCAAAGCAGTTAATTGATGCAAATTGAACAGTACAGCTTAAACCATTTCTATAGAGTATGCATTTTAGTAAACTGGGACAGCCTCAATTCATCTGCCACATGCCACTAGTGTAGTATGTCTTGAGCCGAACCACCATTCAATGGCCTCAGAAAGGAACGACCATGATATGAACCAAGACATCAATCATGCAACATAAACTTCAAGGAAGATGGGAAGAAAATCGAATCTAAATCAAGTGTTCTTGCCTTGAGATATTCGATCAACAAAGTAATCTAAATCTTACTCCCCTTGTAGTGATCCCTTATCATTTAGTATAAAAAATTTCCCTTCGGTTGATTCCATATTAGACCATATATCACATAATGCAATTATAATAAGAAAATATGAGAGAACACAAGAATAGCTCCGTACTTATTACCATATTAAGGGTTGATGGTTCGATATCCCACCTTGCAATTATCGAACTCAAGTAATAATAAGAATACGAAAAAGTTGTGCAATCAAATTGCCTGCAATTCTACAGTAAAAATCTTTTAATTACCTTGCTATCCAAAAGGCCATATATGAAGTTAATAAGAACTTCATCTTCAAACCCAAGAAGCTCCGTCGCCCTCGTAGCAATCCACGGCTTGATAATGTCCATCTTCACCTTTGTCGTATCAACCTAAGACACATCACTGGTGCTTAAGAATTACTAATTAATCCTTAAAATAGTTTAACATTCATAGCAGTACGGATTAACATTTCACTCAATTGCAATTACCACAACATAATAATTTGAAGATGAAAACGACGAACCAGTTGGTCTAGTTCAGCAGGGAACTTCTGTGACTTCAGCAGCTTTGCTTGCTTGTTTGAAAAACGAGTGTCTTGGTCCGCAGTCGTACCCTAGTAAAAAACGTCCATAAAAACCTCAAGAAAATACCAAGAACATACAGGAAAAATCCACAATTAAAGACAAATTAATTATGAAATGATAATTCTGATCTAACAAGACAAAGAACAATTTATAAACAAAAACAAGAAGTTGGGAAGTTCTTCAACTTCACAATGATAATGAAAGCTGCTAAAAAGAACTTGTCCAATCAAGACGCAAACCCCTAAACACTCGCCCAGCCAAGAACACATGGCTTCAGAAACACGCTGATTCGTTTGGGATTAAACAAAGAACCAAGAAACGAGCTGAAAACTAAGTTATAAGTTCATTTCGATCATTACCCGGAAAAACCCGCCGGACATTTTTCAGGGTTTGTAGTGGGAACAAAGGTGGGTCTGTTGTTGTAAGCAATGGGTTGGGGAGAAACTGAGGGAGAGAAGAAGCTCCGAACGCTCCCCGGCGGTGGCAGCGACGGCGAGAGAGAGCCGGTGACTCAGAGGCGAAACGAATTGGACTGAACTCAACTCTGGATTAATCTGGGAAGTATGATTCAAGCGACTTATTGAGACATCAATTGGGAATTTCGTACCGTTTTATCATGGTTTTCATTCAAGCTCGTGGAATTAGGGCTCTCTCGTTCTTCCTACTTTTAAATTTGAATAATTCAATATTTTAACTAAATTATTAAAAATATCATTAAATTTTACTTTTATTTCAAAAATACTTAAATACTTTTAAACTAATTAATATATATTATTTAAAAAGATATACTTGAATTTTCTTAATTTTTTTTAAAATTTAAATTTTTTTAGACGATTTTCGTCTGTACGTAATCAATTTTTTTTTTTATAAATATAAGTATTGTAAAGATATTTTTAAATTTTTATGAAATTAAAATGAGTATTTTTATTAATTGATGGTTTATTTTTTAAATTTTTATGAAATTAAAAAGAGTATTTTTATTAATTTAAAAGTTTTTAATAATTTAGTATTAGAATAATAAAAGACGTTGAAAAAGTCGCCCTTAAAAAAACAAAATATTAAAAAAAAAATTCTGATATAGAGAAGAGAAGCAAGAACAGAAGATAATTCAGCAGAAACGCAAAATCAAAATTCCGATTTCTTTTTATCGCCTTTCTTTGCCTCTCGATCCAAGATGCCAGCCCTCGCGGCGCAAACCCACCTCCCCACTGCCACGAATTTCCCCAACTCACCGGCTTCCCGCTGCCGGCGCCGGATACCGCCCTCAATCGCCGTCTCTAACAACCCCCATTTCCCCACTTTGAAATGCCATCAATCTTCCTCTTCCCAAGCCCCACAACCCGTTCAATCCAACCCTTCCAAACCCCACATCAAATCCATCGTTAAAGCCCTTGCTCTGTCCTCCTCTGTTACCCTTGTTCTCAAATTCTGCTCGTTTCTCGGAAATGGGGATGGGAATTTTGGTGGAGGGAGTGGCGGATGCGGTGGCGGTGGCGGTGGTGGAGGCGGTGGCGAGAGCGGCGGGTTTTGGAGGAGATTCTTTTCCCCTGCTGCGTTGGCCGACGAGCCACAGACTCGAGAATGGGATTCTCATGGTTTGCCTGCCAACATTGTGGTGCAGCTAAATAAGCTTAGTGGGTTTAAGAAATATAAGGTTTCTGATATTCAGTTCTTTGATCGCCGGAGGAAAACCACCGTCGGCACCGAGGACTCGTTCTTTGAGATGGTTTCCTTGAGACCTGGTGGGATATACTCCAAAGCTCAGCTTCAGAAAGAGCTCGAAAACCTTGCGACGTGTGGGATGTTCGAGAAAGTCGATTTAGAAGGTAAAACTAACGCTGATGGTACTCTTGGTATCACAATTTCTTTCAATGAAAGTACTTGGCAGTCTGCCAATAGGTTTAGATGTATCAATGTTGGTCTGATGAAGCAGTCAAAGCCGATGGAAATGGACGCCGATATGACGGATAAGGAGAAGATGGCGTATTTTAGGAGCCAGGAGAGGGAATACAAGAGGAGAATTGATAGGGCAAGGCCATGTTTGTTACCAGAGTCAGTGGAGAGGGAGGTGCTAAGGATGTTGAGAGATCGTGGTAAGGTGAGTGCGAGGCTTTTGCAGAAGATTCGGGACACGGTGCAGAAATGGTACCACGACGAAGGGTATGCGTGCGCTCAGGTGGTGAATTTTGGGAATTTGAATACCAAAGAGGTTGTTTGTGAGGTGGTGGAAGGGGACATAACTCAGCTGGTGATTCAGTTCCAAGACAAGCTTGGTAATGTTGTTGAGGGAAACACTCAACTCCCTGTGGTGAGGAGGGAATTGCCCAAACAGGTAGAATCCTATATAACCTTCACTAGGTGTTTGATTGTTTCAATAATTGTTGGTTCAATTAAAATTTTGATCCTAAAGTTTGATGGTTATGGCCCCATTTAGTTCATAAACTTTAAAGACTTTCATGTGTGTTTTTCTTATCTTAACTATGACGATATGTAGTTGACGGGGTTAACACTGTTATTGTGAAATCCTACATCGGTTGGAGAAGAGAACGAAACATTTTTTAGAAGGGTGTGGAAACCTCTCCTTAGTAGATGTGTTTTAAAACCTTGAGGGGAAGCTCGAAAGGGAAATTCCAAAGAATACTATATCTGCTAGCGGTGGGCTTAGGCCGTTACAAATGGTATTAGAGCCAGACATTGGGCGATGTGCCAGCAAGAAGGTTGAGCCCCGAAGTGGGGGTGGACATGAGGTGGTGTACCAGCAAGGACGCTGGGCCCCGAAGGGGGTGGATTGGGGGGTCCGACATCGATTGGAGAAAGAAACAAATGCTAGTGAGGATGTTGGGCCCTGTAGGAGGGTGGATTGTGAGATCCCACATCAGTTGGGAAGGAAAGCAAAACACCAAGCGATGTGCCAGTGAGAAGACCGAGCCTTGAAGGTGGTGGACACGAGGTGGTGTGCCAGCGAGAAGGTCGAGCCTTGAAGGGGGGTGGACACAAGGCGGTTTGCCAGCAAGGACATTGGGCTCCAAAGAGAGGGTGTATTGGGGTGTCTCACATCGGTTGGAGAAAGGAACAAATGTCAGCGAGGACATTGGGACTCAAAGGGGGATGAATTATGAGATCCCACATCGGTTGGAGAGGAGAACAAAACACTGGGCAATGTGCCAGCGAGAAGGCTGAGTCCTGAAGGAGGTGGACACGAGGTATTGTGCTAGCAAGGACGCAGGGCCCCGAAGGGGGTGGATTGGGGGGTCCCACATCGATTGGAGAAAGGAACAAATGCCAGCGAGGACGCTGGGCCTCGAAGGGGGGGTTGATTGTGAGATCCCACATCGGTTGGGGAGAAGAACGAAACATTCTTTATAAGGGTGTGGAAACCTTTTCCTAGCAAACACATTTTAAAACTTGAGGGGGAGCCAAAAGAAGATAATATCTGTTAGTGGTGAGCTTGTGCCGTTACAGTTATCGTACATGCTATTGTAGAAACGTTAATTGTTTCAACACAACATAGAAGGGAAATCGAAAATTGGACAAAAAAATGTGGCATATATATCGAATCCTTTTTAAAACCGTCACTCTATTTATTTTGTTTAGTTGTCTATTGTTCTTCATCTCATTGGTTTCAAATGGTTTGATATATATCCGATAAGCATGTCACATCATCATTTATCATTTAGGTAACGGTGTTAACGGGAGGGTCTCATAGAGTCACAATTGTAACTTTGTTGGGTGGCTATGCATTCTTATGTGTTCAAAATTTTGAATCGTGTCACAGCTTCTCCCGGGCCATGTTTTTAACATAGAAGCAGGAAAGCAAGCTCTGAGGAACATCAACTCGCTTGCTTTGTTTTCCAATATTGAAGTGAATCCACGACCCGACGAGAAGAGCGAAGGAGGGATTATCGTCGAAATTAAACTTAAAGAACTTGACCAAAAAACCGCTGAAGTCAGTTCAGAATGGAGCATTGTTCCTGGGCGTGGTGGACGTCCCACTTTGGTATGTTATGCCTTGTTATGCTATGTCCTTTACTTTTACCACCGTTTAGATTTGAATTATGATCGAACATGTTTCTGGGATTTGTGTTCTTAGGCTTCACTGCAGCCTGGTGGAACGGTTACTTTCGAACATCGAAATATCAAAGGGTTGAATCGATCGATTCTTGGTACTATAACAACAAGTAATTTTTTCAATCCCCAGGTAGTTCAATCAGTATTATTGTTTAGTTTTCTCTTTCACTGCTTCTGGCTATTTGTCCCAAACAATTTTGAACGATGAAATCTCCTCAGGATGACCTTTCGTTTAAGCTCGAGTACGTGCATCCATATTTCGATGGTGTCTATAACCCACGTAATCGAACACTTCGAGTTAGTTGCTTCAACAGCCGAAAACTGAGTCCTGTCTTCACTGGTGGACCAGGGGCAGATGAAGTTCCACCGATATGGGTCGATCGAGCCGGTGTTAAAGCTAATATTACCGAGGTACTTATCTCCTTTTGTAGCATATTTTGGAAACAATGTTTCTAATGTTGTTGCCATTTGTTGAATAGAATTTCACCCGCCAAAGCAAATTTACGTACGGGCTTGTAATGGAGGAGGTAATCACACGAGACGAAAGTAGTAATATCTGTTCGAATGGTCAGAGGGCGTTGCTTGGTGGAGGTATTAGTGCTGATGGACCACCCACGACTCTGAGCGGCACTGGTACCGATCGGATGGCATTTTTACAAGCAAACATAACACGGGATAATACGAAATTTGTCAATGGCTCTATAGTTGGCGAGAGGAACGTATTTCAGGTGCAAGTCTTTCTTAATATTTGCATCGTGTCGTGTTTGTTACCCTTTCATTGTTTCGTTGAACCGACTGTTTGCGTCGTTTACATACTAATAATGGGTAGAAAGAACACTGATTAAGCGACTTCGAAAGGGAGTAGAACAGCTTTTGTCTGTGGCTGATTGTTGAATACCTCGTGTTTATTACAGGTAGACCAAGGCCTCGGAGTGGGCAGCAAATTTCCATTCTTCAACCGCCACCAGCTTACATTGACACGGTTTTTACAGCTGAAGCAGGTCGAGGAAGGCGCTGGCAAACCTCCTCCTCCTGTGCTTGTCCTCCATGGCCATTATGGTGGCTGTGTAGGAGACCTTCCAAGTTATGATGCTTTTACCCTTGGAGGGCCCTATTCTGTGAGGGGTTACAATATGGGTGAGCTCGGTGCAGCTCGAAACATCCTCGAGGTAAATCTCGAACGTCCACGAGAATGTTAATCAACTCTTAACATGAATTTGGAGCAGCATTCTAATTTCTAGCTCCCATTGCTTTCATTCAGCTTGCAGCTGAGCTACGAATCCCGGTTAAGGGCACACATGTATATGCATTTGCTGAACACGGGAACGATCTTGGAAGTTCAAAGGATGTGAAGGGAAACCCGACCGAGGTATATAGGCGAATGGGGCATGGTTCGTCATATGGTGCTGGTGTCAAGGTAGGCCTTGTTCGGGTCGAGTATGCTGTCGACAATAACTCGGGCACGGGTGCATTGTTTTTCCGTTTTGGGGAGAGGTTTTGAGATAGTTTTAAAATTTTATTCCATTTTTAGTTCGTATAGCCGGTTCCTATAGGTTGTGGGATGAGAATGTTGG